TCTTGCCAGCCCTTGGACTTGTTCTTAGAGTTTGGCCAGGCAGAGTTGAATCCTGACTGAAGGTTGGTCGTGTCTTATCAACCCCAGTGCTTTCATGGAAACACGTGCATGTGCCCCCACTGTGTCTCTTCAGAGCCTCGGGGCACGGGTGCTTGAGAGAAGCAGCAGCCACTTCGATTTTCCCATTTTTGCTCTTTTGATGCTCTCAAATAGTGGACCAATGAAATGGGACCGCATGAACTTCCTACAAATGCATTGACTGCTGTTTTTATCTTGCTAGGTCATGGACTGTGTGATTCTAGATGACGGTGGGTTTCTTTTGATGGCAAATCACGACGACTACACGAATCAGGTGCGCAGGTGAAGTGGAGGGACGCAAGGTTTCCCACACGATTTCTCTGGTCAATGCCACAGACGCCTTCACGCATGATAGCATTCCATACACTGCTTTCTTCTATCACAAAATAAATTTCAAAATGCTTAATATTTTGGAACCATTAAGAATATGTGCCTAACCTAGATTTTCCTTGTGCTTGTTAATTGTGTCTACTCCTTTGGTACCTACAGTTACAATTAAAATGTGTAGTTGAGGATTTTACTATGATAGGAGCTTGTTTAGGCCTTTCAGATACTTAGAAAATTGCTTCACATTAAACGTTTTCAGTTGATGGTGTCAACCCTGGTGGACAGCTGCTGGAGACGGAGGCAGTGGCCGGGTCCTCTCTGCAGAGTGGCAGCACAGGGCCTATTAGACTCACCTGGGACATCAAGAGAATTTGAATTCACTGCCAGTGCCCTTCATTTCTGGACCTGTATTTCTGGCTTCTCTAGTTCAAAAGGAAAAAGAAGCTCCCGAGCACCAAGTTGTTCCCTGGATGGCGTGGGCTGGCCGGGCTCAGGAGCTGGCTCCTGTCCCACACAGGGGCTCCCGCCACTCCTCGTGTACCACAGTTCTTTATCTCTCCCTTAGTTCCATCCGCTCCTGCAGTTACACTGCTTGTCGCCTCCCAAGGAGGCATTTGACGTTGCGTTTGTTTGCTTTTGCCTTTCACTATATATCAGAACATATGACAAGATGTTTTCATACATGATTTTTTTTTTTTTTTTGGCGGAACCAGGGATTGAACTCAGGCCCTTGCATATCACCCCCACAACCCCAGGCTAGGCGCTTTGCTGGGACCGGGATGCTTGGCGCTGCGCCTCTTCTTTCCATGACCATAGCAGATTCTCCCTTGGTTGGTTCCTCAGCTCTGCTGTTCTTTCAGTTCACAGTTTCTTCCCATTATTTCTTTTTACTGGGCTGGTTCAGATCTTCATCTTTGGTGTATATTGGAAACTTTAATAATTTTTTTTTCTTCATCAGATTGGACGATTTTTTGGAGAGATTGACCCTAGCCTGATGAGACACCTGGTTAATATATCAGTGTATGCTTTCAATAAATCGTATGATTATCAGTCAGTGTGTGAGCCCGGCGCTGCCCCCAAGCAAGGAGCGGGACATCGCTCAGCACATGTGGTCAGTAGAGCCCCCAGCGGGTCGTGCCTGCCGTGGGGCCAGGCGGGCGGGCTCGGGCAGTGTGCTGACCGTCTCCTTGTATTTCACAGCCTTCCATAGCAGACATACTGCAGATCGGCTGGTGGGCCACTGCCGCTGCGTGGTGAGTGCTGCTCTTTAGCTTTGTTGGTCTTGAGAAGAAAGGTGTTGTGAAAAACTAAAGTGAGAAAATATGAGTTCTGTGATAGGATAGTCCTTACAGTGGGTTTATTTTCTCTGCATGAGGCAGATGTTGGAAATATTGATGATCAACTCAGAAACTCAAATCTTTGTAGTACAAAGTTATTTTAACAAAGCCTTTCCTAGAACTAAAGCAAGGACAAAATCTGGATGTCAAGCCCTCTTCTCTGAAGCCCTGATGCTGCCTCACAGCTATAGTGCCCATCAGGCCCTTGAACACTTGCACATCCCAGGCTTGGTCTCCAATACCTCTGCCTGCTCACAGGCTACAGCAAAATTAGAGTTTTGCATATTTTAGGAAACACGTGCATAAAGATGGTCTTAAATTTTTAATGAGCAACTTTCAAACTGATGGAAAATATACAATGTATTTATTTGTTACTTTACGTACAAAAATGCTGAATATTGTATTATAAATTCATCAAGGAGAATTTCCAGATTTTTCTCAGCTATTCATCTTAAACCTTCAGGTCTATTCTCCAGCAGTTTCTCTTGAGTTTGACCTTTCCTCGGATTCTAGAAGCAGGTATGTAAAGGCTCCCCTGTGATCAGAGTCATAGTGAGTTCGCCTCAGAAAAACGTGTGAGTGTGTGTGTATGTGTACATAAGAGAAATGTTGTCCCTTTGACACTTCTGTAGGTTGAATTTGTGAGGCTTTCTTATTTATTTAATCTGTAGTACCAGTTCTCGAACTCAGGACCTTGCACTTATGCCCCTGAGCTATCTCCTATGCCCAAAACCCTTTCTGATATTCTAGAGAATGCTTGTGTTCATGTTGTCCCCTGCTCTGTGGCTGTCTTAGTCATTGTCCTGATGATAAGTATCAGGCCCCACTCAGAGGCTGTCGGGCGTCACACAGTGTGACCCTGGCACTTTGCTGTGGAGGTGCTGGGTTTGCCCATTGGGAAGGAGGCCTGTGGGTGCGGCGGCAGCCTGGTAGCCCTGCCTGGCGGTGCTAGGTGGTGACCTATGCCCTGATTTCTGCAGTGGAGATGGAAGAAGAGGACTTCACTGCCTCACTGTCAAAGCAGAGCTGCATCACTGAACAAACCCAGTACTTCTTTAACAATGACAGCAAATCCTTCAGCGGTGTCCTGGACTGCGGGAACTGCTCCAGGTACTCTAACCTGCCCGGGAGCCACTGGGCTCACCAAGTCATTGATGTCATAGGCAGGAGGAATGGTTTTCAGTTGAAAATGTCAGAGATCTTAGGTTTCTTTGGAGGCTTTAGAAATTTATAATATTTAAAAATGTAGATTTGATAAGTACTAACTCAACTGTAATGATATAAGCCGTGTAATTGCCTGTTTTAGGCAGAACATAAAGTTGGTTGTATTTCATCTAAAATAATCCATATTGTAACTTTCCAATTTAGATGATGATAAAGATTTATATTCTAAAATCACTAGTGTACATTATATTAATACTCTAAGCCAAATACGGTTTCCTTTCCCATAAGGTAATGAAGCTGGCTTATAAGAAGATAGTTCTTTTATTTGTTTTTATTTCTAGTCTTTTTGACAGGGAGACTTGAATGTTACTTTTGACTTGAAATTGAAGAAACTGGGAAAAGCATAATTTCATACAGTGATGGTTGCTAGGATTCAGTCAGTGTTCATAAAAATCTTTAAATTCTTTGTGATGAGATGGAAACTTTAGTTGGTTATGGTGGGCGAGAGGAGAAAGGCAAAGTGAGGGCTTGCAGGCAGAGTGTGATCCGTGCTGTAGGGTGCAGAGAGATGTCCAGCGGGAGGAGGGCAAAGCCAGGGGCACGGGCGGCTGAGACACGAAAGCACCCGCAGGCACCTGGCGCCGCTAGGGCACTGAGAGGCCAGCCCAGGCAGGGCCAGCGATTCTCGAGAGGGGCTGAGCACGGTGACCCCACATGCCTCAAGACTTGCTTCACAAACTGCTCTCTGGGGAGGAGGTCCATGAAGAGGAGAGGAAAGGCAGGAGGTAAAAGGCGAACTCAGGGTCGTGTCACCCGGGGATGAGTGCGTCAGGCCCTGCCTCAGGTGACACATCAGAGCCTGTTTAGGGGGGACCCACTGAGCTCTGGGAGTAGCAGTACTTAGAGAAAGAGGTTAAATTGTGAAGAACGGTATACTGCTGATGTTACTTGAAACATGCTTTCTAATTGAGTCCTGTGTTCGTCTGATTTGTTTTATGCTCATGTCCCCAGTCAGTGGGAGGAAAGAAAGAAAAGTCCTCTTCAAAACCTGTATTCTCAAAAGTGTTACTCTGTTGGTGGTATTGTTTATATTCTTATACTGGTTGCAGAGAAGGGCAGGAGATTCAGCGGTGGCTAAAAGTGGGGATGGAGTTTCCAGGCCGTGGTCCTGCCCTGTGCTGTCCAATGCAGGACTTAGCAAAATCAAAGTGTATTGTCTTGGTCACACTTTTCCCATGGCAAGCACTCCAACAGCTTCATGGCCTGAAGCCCACCATATTGGAAAGGAGGGTGTGTGTGTGTGTGTGTGTGTGTGTGTGTGGTACTGGGGATTGAACTCAGGACCTTGCGCTTGCCAGACAGGCACTTATGCCTGCGGAGCTTTTTCCCTGGCATAAGGCTGCTGTATTGGGAACAGCAGAAAACACATGCATCTTGGCAGGAAGTTCTCTGGGTGTCCTGGATCGAGGCTCTTCTGCCCTTAGCTTGAGGGGAATGCTAAGCCAGTTTTCCACTCCCATGCTCTGTCTGTGACAGGGCTGCTTGGCATATCCTGAGGGATGAGTACCACAGTTCCTTAAACATGAAAGTGAATCCGTTTTTCTGTGAGTTTCAACAGCTAAATAGGGCTTGCTCTTCAGTGACAACTAACACAAATTGCTGAGAGAAATGTCATAATATGACATTTGTTCTCTTGTATGCATTTCAGGGAGGCAATATGCTCATGGTATTAAATACAAAGATATTTCTTTTTAAAACTACACTCACTCTGTCCTACTACTGACCATCATGATGCCTTGTGTTTCTTTGCATCTTATTTTGTCATGTGAGAATCTTTGAAGTATTTCTGTTTCTCTCCCAGAAGACTCTTCATTTTCCATGATCCTCTTACTGTTATTTTTACAGGATCTTTCATGTAGAGAAGATTATGAACACCAACTTAATATTCATCATGGTCGAGAGCAAGGGCACTTGTCCATGCGACACCCGGCTCCTCATCCAGGCTGAGCAGACTTGTATCCTTTGACATCAAGTCATTCAGGACTAGTGTCAAGTGGTGCCCTTGTGGCCTGCTCGCCCTGAGAGCTGCCATCACCCCGGAGAGGAAGGGTGGGTGTGTGGCCAAAGCTTGGGTTTGAGTATCGACGTGGATTCTGCCTCTCAAGCAGAACAAGGAGACTTCAGAACAGTCCACTGAAGATCCACGTACTAAGAGGGTCCGTGTTGGCAGAACGTAATGGCGCTGTCTCTTGCTTGTTTTGATAATAAATAGGTTTTGTCGCCCCATTTCTAATCAGTTGTGGGGGGACGCAACTTCCCGTTCCTTAACGATCTCTTCAGCTGATGGTCCGGATCCCTGTGATATGGTTAAGCAACCCCGATACCGCAAGGGGCCTGACGTCTGCTTTGACAACAGTGAGATGGTGAGAGAGCACATTTAGTGGATTGAAATTCTGTAGCTAAGGGGGCACTGTCCACCAGAATTTAAGCTGTAAATTGAAATCTTTTCTCAAACATAACGTCTTAACCATAACTTTTCTCAATTATGTGGTATAATTGCTGGTAGGTAAAGATTTTTTATTTTCAAAGTTATTATGATTACCATAAATTTAAATAGTTGCTTCTTTTGTCTTTCCCACAGAAGCTGTACTTCCAAACACAACTCCCATCAACCCACTGATAGTGTGTGGTCACCAATCTTATGATAAATATTTCTAATAAAAGTAACTCATAATAAATAGCACTTATAGGTATTACCTGCTTGCGTTTGTGTTCAAAACTTGAAAATATGTAATTTTATTAGAATATTCCTATTAGCTCGTTTTGTCTTCATGAATTATGCTAAAGACCTGATCTGTAGCTGTTTTCCTGTTATCTTATAGTCCCAATTTCCTTTTTTGATACTATCATAAGTTTATATTGTTTCCTAAGCATTATATCTTTTTCTAAGTATTTGAAGTTGGCTCTTTGGCTTTATAAAGTTAATTTGACAAATTACAAGGCACATTTAATGTGTATTACCTAAAGATGATCACTGCTTTTCTTATAAATCATCTTTCCCAATAAACATTTTTCTGATTTATTTATATAGTCAAATGGTTTCATAATTACTTTATTTTATTTTATTTTTGTACTTTTAGGGAAGGGTCTACAGGGTGCTCAGGGTCTCACTACTACGTGGGACTCATGAGCCGCCTGTTTACAGCCTCCCACGTGCTGGGATTACAGGTGTGCGCCACCACGCCCAGCCTCCATTGCCTCCTCAGTGTATCCCAGGGGCGGACCGGCACAGCGGCCTGGGGATGAAGCCCTTGTCCCCTGTGCCTGCTTGCAGGCACTTTAATCTGCTGAGCTATTTGACTGGCCCTTTTCAGAGTGATTTTAACTGAGAAAATTTATTCTCAGAGATGAATGCCATGAAAATCTCTGTCCACTTTTGCTGATTTGAAGTAGAACATTTCCCACTTCTGAGTTTTCAAGGTGTGTGCTTGTGCTGGGTGGCTGGTGCACACCGAGAAGTTTAAGAACAGAACCTTGTCATCTCACACATTCATTATTCTAAAAGTATGTCACAACATCTGTTGATTAACTTGTGTCCTAAAAGAACTTAGAATAGGTTTACAACCATAGTAAGAATTTCCCAAGACATGTATCAAGCAACTAGATAATGTAAATTTAAAAGAAGAAATAAAATCTGAGACCTATTAGCCAGTCTATCCAGCTTGTCTCTGTGAGGAGAATTGACTATTTCTCTTAAAAGTGATTTAGGGACCGGCGAGATAGCTCAGTGGTCTAATGTGCCTGCTTAGGCAACCTTAGGCAAGTACAGGGACCACGGTTTGATCCCTGGCACCACATGCTGCGCCAGCCCCACCCCTGGGGCCAGCTGAGGTGGCCACAAAAAAAAAGTGATTCAGAGATGGAAATCAGCTTTTTGTATTTTTTTTAATTTTAATTTTGCTGAATAATAATAATACACAATTCATATTTGAGGACTCCTACTATTCTGTTTCCCAAAGCAATTGCCCAGGAGTGTGCACAGTCACCCAGAGACGTGGCTCCTGGGCTGACCCACGTCCACTTCTGATGATTCAAAGAGAGACAAATACACCCAGATGAAAGTAAAAGACATGAAATGACTATCGACCCTAAATATTCTCAACCCAAGGGTCTGTATCATTTGGCCAGACTGCACAGAGATTTTCCCAAGACGAATTTTCAGCAGTTCCAGTTCCTATAATCTGGCGAGCGAGGGGTTGTGTGTGAAAGTACAGCGCTGCTCTGTGGCGTGGCCTGCTACGGTGTGTCGTGCAGCTCCAGCAGTGGAGGACTTGGGTAATGCTTACTTGCAGTGGTCCCTGTGACTCTGCTCTGCGTGGAGGCTCACGTTAACTGCTGATTGCCAGAGAATTGCATGAACTCTCATCTCGTATGTCTTCTTCTCTGTGTTTCTTTCCTTTCCTGCACTTGCTACTTTGCCCGTTATTAATAGGATCAACTTGTGTGCACAGCGAGTCGTGCCTGCTCCATGACGGCAGCTCCCAGCCTCATTTTGCTGCAAGTTTTCATGTGGTGTGCATGGTCAGTCACACTCTCTAATGTTCTTCTGTTTTGTTTTTGGCTTGAGATATTAGAACATGATTCATGTCACTAAGTCCATGGTAATAAATGTCATGAGACAATGTTATTAGAATTTTAGTGCTAATATTCTTTCATAGGTGGTGATTTCCAGTGGTACATAAGTTTCGCATACTAAACAGACCAAAATGAGATTCCTATATCTATTTAAGTGTCACATTTTTCTTACATGGTTTTTCTGCAAAGACTAAGTCAGTGTGGACCAAATTTTATACAGGCTTTATGACATCTCATTTTTTGCTGGAGAGAAATCCTTAATAATTATTAGAGGTGGTTGTACCAACTTATTTTCCAAATGCTAACAAGCTTAATGAACCATTTCAGTTTTATCAAGCATTATATGAGAACTTCAATCATTCTGATTTTTCTTTTAAATAGATTTAGTTTAAGTAGCTTTTGAGGGTTTATTCTGAGAATGTTGATAGTCTTGAAATATTTTAGCAGAGCCTTGGTAATTGTTCTACAGGGTGCCACCATGTAGGTCGGACTCATAGTGATCCTCCTGTTTTCACCCTCCCAAGTGCTAGGATTATAGGCACACACTACCTCGCCCAGTCTCAGTCACCTTCTCAGCATGCCCCAGGGACAGGGCCAGCACGGCAGGTCTGGGATCGAACCCTGGCCGCTGTGTCTACCTAAGCAGGTGCTTTAATGCACTGAGCTATTTGTCTGGCCTAAAATTATTCTTTAATGTCAGATCATGATTGAGCTTTAGAATTCCATAAGCAACATCCCTATGATGTCTGGGTCTTGCATTCATGCTCCGTGTTCCATTTATTCTTGTCCAGTTTCATTTCTGAGGTTCTGGAATCACCAGGCTTGTGTGACTGGAGCGACTTCTGCCGTGTACTTTCTTCCTGGTCTTCAGGTGACCATTGATTAGAAAGCCACTAGATGGAGACGTGGCTGTAACCAAGCTAGAGCGAGCACATGGGACAGGGAACACTTGGAGTGGCAGACAAAGTCTCAGAAAGCGACCAGAGTTCTTCTGAGATAATAATGGTTCCCATCGCAAAAGCCTGCAAGGGGAGGCACCAAGCTAGGTTCATTGATTGAGTAAAAGACAAAAGTTAAACGATTGTGGTCCAATTAAGACAGATTCTTGGGCCGGGGAGACGGCTCAGTAGAATAAGTGCTTCCCTGGCAGGCGCAAGGGGCTGAGTTCAAGCACCAGGTCCACCAAAAAAAAAAAGACAGATCCTTAAAAGTGACGTGCGGGTGCTTCTTTGCAATGTAACGTACTCCTTTCACAAACTATATAATCGAATATTTAAATAAGAAGAGCAGCATGGTGTGCTGTGTGTCCATGACTGTCTTTCTTGTGGGCCTAACAGAAGTGAGAAAACTGGAGCGTCTTGGTAATCAGTGATTGTGCCGCACGCAGGAGAAAGAGCGTACGCGTTGTTTTCACCTTTGATCATCAAGGTTACTTTTCCCAAACACAGAACTTTAGGTAACATGTATAAGTTATGAATTAGACATAAAAATGCATCAAAATTGTCCTCGCTATTATATTAAGAAAATATATGTATTTTTAAAAGCTGCAATGTAAATGTCCCCAGAATGACATGAAAAATGGAAGTGTCCAAGTGACATCATTTTTGACCCAGGGTTACTATGACACAAGTAGAAAAGAACAGAAAAAGGCAAACAAGAAAGCTGAAATTGTTATTCAAAGCACAAAGTGAAGCACGTCCAACATCCCTATTGAGGATGTGTGTTATTCTATGCAAGTCCAATTTGTAAAAATCATGGTATTGGACACACACAAGTGAATATTTAGAAGTAAGTTTCTGTGTGTATATTAACCATTCTGCACTTAAGAGTTGAAGCAATTTACCACCCACTTCATGGGTTATTGTTGTCAGATGACCATGTAGAGTAGATGATCTTATGAAGTAAGTATCTTATAAAGACCTTGTAAAGGAAACTACCACATATACAAATTGAAACCCAGATTAAGAAGTCGAAGAACATACAAAATATGTAAGCAGTTGTGCTAAGTCACGATGAACTTTTAGATACAGTGTCAAGGCTGGATTGCAATACAGTTTTCCTTCTCTTTATGCCATGGGTAGAGTTCAGTATATATATGGAATTTTTCAAAAAGGAGAAACCATACGATATTTAGGCTTGCATGTCTGAGTGAGTTAGTTCACTTACCCTTATGGTCTCGAGGTGCACCTCTTTTCCTACAGATGACACAAGGTTACCCTGCTTTATGGCAGAGCAGTGCTCGATTGCATATAAATACCAGCTTTGTTTTATTTATTTATTTGTTTATTATTTATTTATTTTTGTGGCACCGGGCATTGCACTCTGGACCCTGCGCTTGCCGGGCAGGCGCGTATTCCACTGAGCTGCCTCTTCGGCCCTCAACGCCACTTTCGTCCACTCTGCTGAGGCAGATGGGATGCGTTCACAGCTCAGCCCCTAGTGTCGCGCTGCTGTGCTCGTGTTGCGTGAGTGGCTGCGGCACAGAGTCTTCAGTTCTTCAGGGAAGATACGTAAACTAGCTGGGCCCGTAGCCTTTCCACTTCTCGTTTTGTGGGCAACTCCGCGGCGCTTTGCACGTGGGCTGTGTCTGTGTGCATTGCGCCAGAAGAGGAGGTTTTACCCTTGATGTGCTGTCATGAGAAAGTCTAGTACTGTTAGTCTGTCAGATTTCAAACTATAAAGCAGGGCGTGCTGGCACATGCTTGTGATCTCAGCGCTGGGGAGGCTGAGGCAGGAGGATCACTGCAAGTTCGAAGCCAGGCTGAGCTCCGTACGTAAAGCTACCAAACTGTTGCTTTCTAATTCAGTAAACTTTGAGAAACAGATTTGTATAGTCAAGGCACCTGTGCACTTTCAGCCTCTCCAAGATGGAAAGTGCTGAGGCTCCTTTCCTGCGCTGCAGCCGTGACTCGGGCACTCAGAACGTGTCCGCGCCCCGCGCCCCGCGCCCACAGCACCAGTTCCTGTCGTGCTGCTGTGCTTGTGCCATGCGGAGCCCTGGGGAGCTCTCCGTCCAGAAGCTGTCAGGGCCCAGGTGTTACCTCCCAGATTCAGACGGAGCTCATCAGCAGGCAGGCAGTGGGCAGAAGGAAGAAGCACAGCAAGTACAGCGCCGAGAGAACCAGAGAGCCGGAGAGCCCTTGCCCTCCCACAGCGCAGTCTGCGGCCCTGCAGTGGGCAGGACACGGCACGGCTCTCCTTGGCAAGGTGAGGTGTCTCTGAGTGAGAGCCTTTCACTCTGTCCAGTGAATACCTAACCCAAACTGTGGCAGACTCCTGCTCATGTGACAAGCAGGACGTTGGCATAGTATTTTAGGTTTCTGGTGTGTCTAACTAGTCTGTTAGCTACTTTACTTCTCACTGTTCACTTAGTAAACGCAGCATGCCAGCTCTGTGTGCTATCTCCCCTCTACATGTGAGATACTGAGGCTGCACAATTGAACACCAGAAACTGAAGGCAACTGGTGACCTGCTTTCCTTTGGGCCACAGACTACCAAGTCAGGGAGGAAGAGGAAAGCATGTGCGAAGGCCCTGAGGTAGTGAGCACCTGGGGCTGCCGCAGAGAAGGACAGCATTTCTGAGGCAGCACCACTGGCGAGAGCAGAGGGGAAGCCAGGCTGCAGAGCCTGGGACACTCACAGGGAGTTTAGGTTTGATATGAGGATGATGAGGCATTCTAAAGGAGATGTGAAAAGACTTGCTATGTGGTTTTAAGAGCCCGGCTTGGTTGGGAAGAGATTGGAAGAAGGCAGAGGAGAAGCAAGGAGAGGAGAGAGGAGGCTCCTGCAGAGGGCGGGGCGGGAAGCCAGCAGGCTGGGCCTGGTGGGAAGCAGCAGGCATGACTCCAGTTGGCAGCAGGGAAAGATGTCAAGCTCGCGGGTCCTACAGAGAAAAGTGGACCCTCAGAGACCCGGGTCATGCATAGTCCTCCACTCAGGAAGTGTCCTTGGCAGAGAATGAGGACAGCACGTGCCACACAAGGTCGTGACAATGCCTGGGACGCAGGAAGAGGATGCAGACACTGGTGTGGGACTCAGGAGCGCCCAGGGCTCTAGAAAAGGATACATTATTAACCAGCAGGTGACATGCAACTAATGTGGACCAGGTTAGAGCATGAGAAACTAAGTCTGCATGAAGGAGGGAAATGAGGGCAGGGAGAGGAGCTCATCTCAGGAGCTGCTGAAGGAGAAGCAGAAGCATGCAGGAAAAATTTCTGCACAGAGAATGTATACATCAGCACTCCTGAAAGGCCAGACACATGAAGACTAAGCGTTGATTCTCATAGGAGTCTGTGTCAATTGGGATGATTTTTGAGAATTTAAATTTCCTTTCATAGATTCTTCACTCTCAGCCTTCTCTGCAACAAATAGAAAGGAGTTGTGCTGTCTTCAAACAAAGCTCAAGAAACTAATGTTGTATTTACCAAGTGACAGGCACAGTATTAAACCTCTGCCAAACAAACCCAAAGCAAAAGGTTGGATTTTTTGAGAGCTTCAAATCTTTATAGAATAATTCTCATAAAAAGGAGTTTGTCCATCCTTTCATTTATATAATCAAATATTCTGATTCTTGGATGTTGCACCTTTGATGGATATTTAAAAGATGCTTAAAAGGATGATTAGATGTGAAGATTTTAAAATGAAATTCATTAGCCTAAAAGGAGTTAAAGAATGTGAAAAATGTTCCAGAACATAGAACCTAAGAATAGCAGGTGAAGAATCTTTTGGCCTTAGTAGGCAGCCGGTGCGCGCCTGCACCGTAGGAAACCCTCCTCGATACACACAGCCGGGACTCTCACTCGAGCTCTGCCCTTTTGGATGTGACTCCCAGCCGTCCTTGCACTGTTATTTCTTCAAATATGTCGGCAGGTTGTTCTTAAACTTTAATTCTTGATGAAGATTCTACATCCACATCACATGTTCAACTGAGAAAATGAATTTAAGAAATAGGGGAAATTGAATCGTTTCTTAAATTCATTTCTCTTGTGATGCACAGTTGCTAAAACCTTAATACTTTGGATTTATGAAACTCTATTAATTTCTTACATTTATAAATATGTGGAATTTGTCATATCATGGCAGTGCTTATTTAGTTAATTGATGTATTGCTCAAAACAGGTTTTATTATTGATGTATGCCCTTTCTAGTCATCAGCATTTATAATTAAAAACTTGTAGCATTTTGCAAGTGCTGGTAGGCAAATTGCTTTACTCAAAATAGTAAGGAGTAAAATCTAGGTGAGTGTAATTTATTTGGATTGCAGTTAAAGCAGTTTTGTCAGGTGAGTTCGAGGGTGAGATCAGTAAGGCTTACTCAGAAAGGCTCCCTTTCTAAATATTGTTCAGGATGTTTATGCTCCCTTTCCTTCCTGCCAGGAGGACTACTCAGACTGTGGCGGTGTTGCTGGGCTAAGCTCATCCCTGTGGTCCGTGCTCGGATTCCAGTTTCTGCTCCTCTGGCTGCTGTCTGGCAGCAGACACTACCTATTGTGACCTTCTGAAACCCACACCATGTCATTAAAGTCAAGACCTGGCCAGAATAGGAGCCCTGGATGACGTCACAGTAGGGTCACCTGTGGAGTCAGCGACACGTTAGCTGGACCTTTACCGTGGCGTATCTAAGGCACACACCTGTGGGGCGCCCATGGGCTGCACGTGGGGGTGTGCGACCACGTACTTGTGTGAATGCCACACCACCTTCATGGAACATCGAAGCAAACAGTCTCTTTGTGCTCTGCTGGGAATTGGGAGTTGTCGCCTTGCTAGTGAGGCATAGAAGGGCTCCCCACACGATTATTTATGAAGCGTAAAAAACCTTTTGATTTTGACCAGGAATTTCAACTTGCTGCAGATTTACCAAGAAAATCTGTCAGGAGAAATAGTTAGTTTTGCCTTCATTTATCCTTCTAGTAAAAGTTAATTCCTACTTTGAGTAGTTCCTGACTAAAGAGGGACAGAGAGGGAGAGAATTTACAGTGGTCTGAATTGCTAAAATAGATATAACGGCTAATTTTCTACAGAAATTTTGCCAAGAAAAAAAATGCCTTATGCAGAATGATTTCCCTGCCAAAAATAAAACACAATTGATATCCAGTTAAGGGGGGTAATGAATTGATAGCTTGAAAAATAATAGCTAAGCAATTGTTAAACTAAAGGTGCTTGAGGGTGAAATCTGGATATATTTTCTCATAAATATAAGCCCTAGAAAGCTCTGATGTAATGTTCCTTTTGTTCACAGTACGGTCATATAGTGCTAGCCAGATACTAGCAAAGCTCTTTAGAGAAGCTCGCTGGGGGAGGGGAAGTGTTTTTCTTGTGACAAATGAACTAGGGTTACAAGGGTATTTTGCATGATGCTGCTGCCGCTATCTTAACTTTTTGGTTTGTTTTTCTCTTATTGTAGAGTGTAGTCTATTGAGAAGTTACCTGAGTGACATTGCTGTCGTGTAAGAATCTGAACTTTGCAGTGTAAATGCACCTAAGTCAGCTTTTAAAAATGTTGTGAAGCTACTCTGAATATACTGTGCTGTAGCACAGGAGGAGGGCTGGGGACTCGCGAGATGAGAGTCAGTGGATTTTATACAGATCCGTGCTTTTGCCTGAAAACCTATGTACAGATATTTTAAGTACATAAATCAGATTTAACACATTTATTTTTTGAAAAGTACATATATGTTCTCAATGAAGCTACATCCTAGGTTTCCTGTTTGTTCATTGCACCGGGGCATGGACAGCCTGAGCTCCGGCCTCCATTTTTGATGCTATGATCATTTGGCCGAAGTCCCACGCCATTTGATAAGGGTTTTATAACAATCTGAACAAAGAGGAAACCTCGGAACTCTGTGTATGCACATGAACACTTGATTGTGAATAACAAAATTTGTTTTTATACAACCTCATTGGTGAAAATGCTTAGTGTAGTAAATCAGATATTTCATTATAGAGTAATATGGTATCAAAATATTATTTATGCTCTTAAGAATTATTTTCAGGAGTAAACAGTATTTGAAGAAAGGGTGAAAACAATGAATGTGTAACTCTAGGAATAGTTTATAATTTTATTGAAGGCTGAAAGTATGCAGATATTTTTTATGAAAAAATGCATTTTTCTTCACCCAATCATGCCAAATATTGGTGTGTGTATATGCTGGAAATTTTCTTAAGTATAATTTTAACATCAAAGTTATCTACATTACCCAGCATGCTTTTGTATGTTCTATGTATCAAAGTTTTAGTCCCTGCTTTATCAATGTTTAAGATATATTGGTTTGTTTTTAGCTTTGCACACATTTATAATCCCCTTGCACCACCAATATATCCTAAATTCCATCTGTGGACACTTCCTTTAAGATTGTTTTTTAATTTAAAATAGGGGGGAGGGAGAAATGGAATCGCTTTGCCAACTGTTGTTCTAAGAGTTGACATCAGTTACCATTTCTAATGCATTGTTGTGATTTTTTTAGTCTATTCAAAACTTATATTGACATTTTAGAAAACACCAAAGTGATTTTTAAAAAGTTACAATATGTTTAAATCATGTTGTTTGTTAGTTACTATTTAAATCTTACTGTTAACTTTTGCTAGAATTTTAAATCGTGAGCGTGTTGGGAAGGGGATATCAAAATAAAAATTGTTAGCTTATGTCAATAAATGATGCGCATTAAAACAAATGATTGCTTCCAGCATACAACAGACTACCTTAAGATTACGTTTAAAGTCCACTCGATATGTTTTCCTGGCCAATGTCATTTGTACTGTATGTCTTCATCACTGGATTATTGTCGTGTTTCCATGTGTCAGCTCAGCATCCCTCCACAGGGCTCCATTGGATTGCAGTTCTGTATAACAGCAGCCACACACAGGGTCAGAGATTGGGTAAGAACTTGCTCTCAGCCTGCAACTTGTTTTCAGGGTCAGTACAGGTCATCCTGGGGTTAGCACACTTTTTTCAAAGGACAGTAACATTCATGCCACCCAATTGTTATGCTAAATTTGCTATTTTTCTGTGAATTCTGTTGACTTTGTAACTCAAAGTCTGATGTTAATAATGATTTTCAAATACTGAGCGGTCCAGGTGATCATCGAAAAGCTCCCGAACCGTTCTTCCACTTTTACGTGGTTCTGCGCTTGTGCAGCTGAATGTCGTGCGTCACTAAGGCATCGTGATGAGGCGTTTGTCCTCCGTTACAGGACAGAGGTCTGCATTAATCATTTCTTTATCATTTCTTCATTTGAACAACCAGCATTACTGCCAAACACCAACCGTAGTCCACATTTGTAACAGGTTTTTAACATGACATAGTTAGCACGTTTGATTGAAGAGATTTTTAGGTCCTGGGCCTATAGGATTTTAGTATGATCTTTTTTCATGTTTGTAATGCTTGAGGCATTATTGCTTAACTTGGAAAAAAAAAAAAAAGGCAAAACAGTGTTGCTGCCATTTGTAAGTTTCCTATATATAATATTCCTTTTATTAACTTTAAAACTGGCCTTATGGGGTTCAAATAGGCGGTATCCCTTTTAAGTGACCTTCGCAATCCAAGTGTTACTTGCTTATTTGATGCTCTCTTGTAATTTTACATCTCCTTTAAATCTTTGTCTGTCTTCACCAAAGTTTAAATTCTATGTCTTAATTTCAAACCGTCAAGCTAGACCATTGATCACGTCAGTTGACATTAAAATGTCGAAAGATGTAGAGTCTAACCTGGTGACAAAAAATGGATTTCGTGACTTGCCCCAAATTCCAATATTTTAATATCTGGACCTTGTTTCTCACAGCAGAATGTCAATATTGTTAATATTTAGTGTACATTTCTGTAAAGATCAAATCACTAAAAACAAAAGTATTACTGTGTGTTGAAAATTTGGAAGAAGTAGAGAGCCCTTATGGATTGTTTCATCGACCTTATTTCTGGATCACATCAAAGAGGTTATCTCAGAGAAGTTATGCTGAGACGAATGAGACCTGACTGTCCTGGATAGACGCCAGTTGGATTGACAGAGCGACCTGACTTCGGAGCTGTCTTCTGTGTTGTGTCATGTGATCGCTGGATCATGCTTTTAGGGATTCTTTTGATGAAATGCTCGATGTGCGTCCCTGAGGACAGCCGAGTGGCTTTTGTGAACAGCAGCTCTCCCCCCTCCCTTCATGACGTTCTCTTGACACTTTTGTGGAAACTGACTAGCCTGTTAAAAACATTTTGTAAAAATTTGTATAATACTGTTATAAAATATTTATAATCCCAGAAAATGTTGTGTTAAATCTTGTGCAAAAACAGTATATTCAGAATAAAAGTTTATCATTTAAAGTCAACAAATAGTTTGGATTATGTGCTTATTTCAATATCTCACTGAGAAGGATAGAGGACTTTGTCATAAACACAGTTCTTTAGTGTGAAAACAAAAAAGGATTTATGAAGGTGTTCTCACAGGTGCAAAACTCTACTCACGAACGCGTTCGTCACTTCTTTTGGAATTCTGACCTTCTGCACCTACCCTCTCCATGCAGCCACTTAGGAAACTGCAAAATCTGACTTGGCACTTCTAGCATGAAAACTGTGCTTAGACAAAAAACAAGGCCTTCATTTTCCCTTATATTCTCCTCGGGAAAGCATTTTGGTAGAAACAAATTAGAGTGTCTGAATTTAAATATTGCTCCTAAAATTGTCATAGCAAACAATGTCTAAGACAGTAAAGAAGACTGTAAGGAACTTTTAAAAAATTTAAATCTTTTATTTATTTATTTATTCGATGGACACAGGGTCTCTCTGTGCAGCTTGGACTCGGAGTGATCCTCCAGTCTCGGCCTCCCCAGTTCCACGATTACAGGCATGCACCACCATTCTTGGTTTCGGTGACCAGCAGGCACATCCAGGGCTTCCAGGGCCAGCATAGCATGTGGTACCGAGAATCGAACCCAGGTCCTTGAACTTGCCAGGCAGGTGCTTAGACCGCCAAGCTATCTCCCCAGTCCTAAGACGTAAAGAAACTTCTAAAAACTGAATGAAGATGTTTCTGGGATCCATACCAGTTTACCTTCTGGTTCCTTCTGCAAACCTAAGAAATAATAAGGTCCCAAGCCTGGTTTTGAGTGCAACCTAGAGTCATGTGCCCATACCTGCAGAACTTCATAAAATAGGGTACAGTGCACTGTGTGGGTGCCCAGGACTGTAAATACTGGGAAATTGGATGCCCAGGCTTGATCAAGACATTTTAATATAAAAAAATCTATTTATAAGTATAAAGTGGATAACTTTTGTTTTCTGAACTGGCTAATCTGAGCCAGTTGTCTCCATAATCAGTCCTCTCAGCTTAAAATCTCATTTCCCACCATCAGCTGTCTTGTTAGCCCTCCAGCTTCCTCCCTTGGGACTTTGCTTGACTTATTCTCTGTCAAACATGTGAGTGCCCACTTCTCTGCTGCCTTGTCCCGTCTACCTGCAAGTCCTCTTGAATATCTCCATGTTAGATTGGTGAATTGGGACCATTCATATTGATGGTTATAATTTTTTTTTTTTTTTTTTTTGTGGTACTGGGAATTGAACTCAGGACCTTGCACTTGCCAGACAGGCACTTATTCTACTGAGCCATCTCCCCAACCCCTTGATGGTTATAATTGATATCTGTTGGCTTTGGAGTGACATTATCTTCCTGCTGCTGGATTCCCATGCTTGCCCTGTAATCGCGCGCCTGGCCAGGTCCCTTCTTTCTATTGGTGTTCTTGGGATCGTCGTCTTGCTTATCTCTTTCTGAAGCGTCCTTCAGGACATTTTGTAGCACTGGTTCGGGGGCTGTGAATTTCTTCAGGTATTATGGGCCATGGAATTATCTTATTTCTCCTTTGATTTTGAAAGATAGTCTTGCAGGGTACCTCAACACGGGCTGGAGGTTGTTCTCTTTCAGGAGCTGAGGTGCTTGTTTTCCCACTCCTTTGAGTTGAGGGTTTGTGTTCTGAAGTTCGCTATGATTCTGATGGGCTATCCTTTATAGGTGATCAGTTTCTTTTCTCCACCGATTATAATATTCATTTCTTGTGCAGAAATTCTGGACTCTCCATAATTACCTGCCTTGATGTGGGTTTATTTCAGCTACGACTAATTGTAGTTCTATATGCCTACCTCATTTGTATGTCTATTTCTCTTCCATGTTTGGGAAGTTTGGTGCCATGACCTCTCTGAACGTGGTTTTCATGGCACTGTGCTGTTTCCTGCTTCTCACTGACTCCCATCAATCTTACATTGTTCTCTTTGCATCATCTTGCAGCTTCTGCACTGACTTTTCACGGTCTCTTGCTCTTCCTAAGAAATCTCTCTTTTCATGGTCACTAAGTGCAATCCTGTCCTCTAGGTCTGATAGTATGTCCCCACCTTGGTTCAG